CACTATTGTATTATTTATACCCTTATGCATTCTAAAGTTAGATCGTAATGATGATATTTCAGTTATAATCCATTCTTTGTCTTATTCTATTGATGTGATTTAATTTATTTACCAATAAAATAGTTTAATACATTACTTTATTTGATAGATTGTCTCAAAAATAATAAAAAAAGAACTACAGTTTCTTGTAAACTCCACTTTATTACGTATACAACTACCAAGGACTACCTAGTTTCAATCTGACTGTTTAAATTATTGCTGTTAAACCCATCATTTATAAGCAATTAGATATAGAATGATTCTTTCAGCTACACAACCATATTTTGCCAATTAAGTCGCAAGATTAGTTCTATTCATAAGTCGTGCTTCTAATTAAAGCATCAGAATAAAAATCTCAATGTACCCACATTCTTGGCCCAATCTATAGGTTACGGCCAAAACCCGAAGTTAGCCAATACGCGTATTGCCCGGTAATATTGGCCATTACGCGTAATGCCCGGGCCAATACGCGGCCAATACGCGTATTGGCCGGTTATATCTCTGAACCTTAATGTAAACATCTCAATAAAATTGTTACGATACGTGCTATAGTTATCTTTTACAAATAGATATTTATGCAGTCTCGCAATCCAACGTTCAATTGACCTATTTTCGTGTAATTCTATGATTGTATTCTTAAACTGATTTGGGACTACTCTACTCGGTATTAGACGATTTATATTTCTTACTAGCATAAGTAACTGAGAATAGTGCTAGTAGTAATTTAAGATAGAAATATGCTATCTAAATGATGCTGAAAGACACAAATATTTCTTACTTATTTTTTATTCTTATTTCAGTGCTGTTGAACCAAAGTAGCCAAGAAATAGTCATTAAGAAATTAGTTGTAGAGGATGAAAACTGTACAGCAATCAATTTGGCTTGGACGTTCGAAAATATGCCAAATAATAGTAAAATGATAGTTTCAATGGAGTATGGTTTGGAAACAGAATCTACCCGAACTCAAAAAATTTATTTCACACCCTTACCTGGCAAAAATAATTTAGTTATTGATACTTTTGTATCAAATGCTACGTATTTTTATCGAATAGTCGTGAAAGTAAAGAACAATAGGGGCGAATTCAAGGAATATAGTCAATCTATCAGTCATATTCCAGGTTGATAGACGTATAATCTTTAATTACACTTATGATACCGCAGCTTTATACGAGGCTTGCTATTTTAAATTACTAATGTTCGTAATATGCTGCTTGCAATAATTTCTTGTCTATAAACATAAATTCTTGCATTTATATCTATAATCATTGCTTAAATATGCTCTTAATTTCCATAATTTTGAATAAGGATTTATTTGATCAAAATAGGGATTATGTGTACAACCCATACTCCAGGGGCAAACCTTTTAACGGTACTGGTACCGTTAGCTATCAGTTTTGGCGTTCTATTCTTATTTTTGGCTTTGATAGGAGTTGCACTTTGCAAAAAATATAAAACATGGTTAGTCAGGAAAAATAAATTCTCTGCTTTACCAACCTTATTAATATCCTTGGGAAATTAATTTACTTGAATCTCAATATATTTTTGTTACTGATGTGAAATTCTTAAAGGTGCTTTAAATCATCAACGAAAAAGTATCCATTAGAAGTATTAACAAGAAAATTAGGTAAAATAGTGATTTAAATTGTGAATCTTGTTTTCGAAGCAATAAATTGACTGACGTTAGCACTAAAGAAATTTTTACTTAATGCTTAATTAATTCGATCAGACAACTCAATTTTATTCCATTTATAGGAGCTTTGATGGAATCACAGAATTCCAAATTAGACAATATTCGCCCTGAAGTGGTAATTTATTGAAGAGCATTTAAATCGATTTGTTTAAGCAAAGCAAATGATTATACTTTTTCTTTGCAATGGATAGCCATTGCAACAGTATACCACAACAATAGCAAGCCATCAAGATACAGCTAGCAGGACTAAATATGATCAATTTAGCAATTATGAAGAACTTTACTATCCAGGAAGGGAATGTCATAATAGTCTCCACACCACCGGATCCACTAACACTAATGGTAATAAGTGCGAAATTACATACACAAACGAAGCGGAGAATGAAAGTTCTCTTAGGAGGATATCTCGTAAACCTTTAAATTCATCAAAATTATGTCATTATTGCAATAGGAGAGACTTTATATCAACTGTTGTCTCTATGATTAGCTAAAATATCATATGTTAAAGGAGACTTATATCTTTGGATTTTATAAAAAATTTAAGGCTGATTCCGAATAAATTTTATTCCGTGTAGTTCATTCAACAAAAGTATGTGAAAATCTATATATAGTATCAGATGATAGGAATGATTTGGATGAAGCAGCTTGTAAAGGTGAGTAATTGCACTAACAAGCCGTAATATGATAATCAAATAATTACGGCACCACTTGTAGTAAATATTTTACATTATACTATCTAGATACCGCCTTTATTTGAGGGACCACATATAGATCATGAGAAATTACATTTTCTGAATACATCTGGTAAGAGTAAAAATATCTTTTAAAATCTAAATCTGTAAACCTAACACGTGAGAATTTTTTACTTTCTCAATGATATCCTGGTAATAGTTAAGTAGCTACTTTTCCCCTATTATAGGCTTACCATAGAAACATCAAATATAGCAGCTAGCTACAAATAGACAAAACAATATAACTTTTCCATCAGAATTTTTTAAAGGCCAAGAAGATTCTTCTGGATAAACAAATTGCCTTTTCTTTCTTAAATACTCAACTAAAAAGCACACAAATTTAATTTATCTTAATTACTTTAGTCTGATAATAGCTAGTAGATTAATCTTAGAATTTTAGCGTAGTTTCTATTCCCCTTATAACATTCAGTGCAAGCTTTGAATTTAAAAATCTAGTTCTTATCTTTTTAGCAGTCGCCAATCATTGACGATCAATATGCACTTGCATTCATATCAACTCTACTTTACTACAACTTCTTAATCATAGATTTAAATTTACTCCTATAAAATGATTATTAAATTAACCATATTAGTTCATGAACTGATAATATGCTGCCATACATATTAAATAGTAGCTACTCTTCGCTAAATAAGTAACGCTACTTGCATAAATCACTGTTATATAACTTAGTATTGTGATTGTAGACTGTTAGCCATGTTTAGTATACTGTACGGTAGCGTAACTTCTATATTTATCATAAGACACTATGTGTAAAATAAGGTAAAAGGTTGCCATGCGGATTGTAGCTGCGAATGCTACGAAAAGTATAAAAGCATACAACTTTAGATTATTCTGTTAGTTCATGCTAGAACTCTTTTGTAGTAGGATTCGACTAGAGTAGAGCTGTGTGTAGTTAATCTTTGTATAAGATTCAATAAAGCCACAATTTTTCTAAAATTTGGAACTTCGTGATCGGTATATATCACAATCACCTTGGTGAGTATGTAGGAGTGCAAAGTTAAGGTAAATTACTCATATCCCGTCTTCTAGTTTATGTTAGTCAATCGATACTTGGTATTGTTTCACTATAGAATTAGATCAAGGCTAATCTAAAAATATCGTTTTATTATAATAATTGCTGAAGAGCGAGAATCTAAGCACCTATAATGCATCCTATTTCGCAAGAGTTAACAAAATATCTGTTAATTCGCAATGAATTTTCATCAAAGGAAACATTACAATATTGCGAAATTTGACGACATTATTACTGAATGATTAACAGGCATGAATAGCTATAATAAAAGGTTCAAATTCAAATTTCTGAAAGTACCAGTGATACATTTTTTAACGAGAACTGCTTGTTTAATAACAATGTATGCTCAAGGAAGCCTCGAAATATAACGGACTTTATAATTTATCAGCATCGAATTTACTCACTAGTACTGCAGCAAGCTCTGACGGATAAAATTTTCTCAGTTAGTAAAAGTAAATTTTCTTAAAACTATCTATTCATCCGGATGAACTACTTCTATCTCTACAAGAAAGGTAAAGTTGCTTAAATGCTTTACAATTTAGCAACCTGGAGATTATAAGCAAGAGCTTTCGAATAGCATCATATAAGAATTTTTATAGCAACGAAAATTCTACAATTACTGTATTTCTATAGTAGGCAAAAGTAACATGTTCACCTTATCATAATCGTAAAATATGACTTAATGACTACAAAAGACTACTTTTAATTCACACTAAATTATTTCTAAGTTAAATTTTATTTTTACAATACGTTCTAACAAAAATAACTAATATAGTCACAATAATATCCTCACTAGCTTGTAAATTCAATGCATTGTTCTTCTCCAGTCTGATTCATTCCTATGATTATTTTAGACTGATGATGCGGATAGCTTTAATAGTAATCTAGCCTAATATAGTGCGAATACTACAAACCAAAGACTTTTAATACTAGCTTGTAGAAGGGAATTCGATACTAATACAAAAAAGTTCTTTTTGCAAACACCGTAAAATAGCTCTAAAAATACTGACTAATTTGCACTTTATTATAAATCCAATTTGTTAATACCTGGCAGAATGACAATTGCAAAATTATAACGGTCTAAAAGTAAGTTATGATCTGTGTCATTTCATAGATAAATAATATACTATTTATCGTTATAATCT